TGCGGGCTCAGGCAATCCACTCACCTCAGCCTCCCAAAGCACTGGGATTACAGGCTGAGCTACAGAGCCCGGCTAGAGACAAGATTTTGCCAGTGCCCCTGACCTTTAATACTGCATCCACAGTGATGCCCTCATTCATTAGCACATTTCCCCCTACAAGGCTTAAGTGACCTGAGTAGCTTTCAAACAAAATCTAACATGGAATCTAATCCAGAAGACAGCCAGGAATGCAGCTGCCCTGGTTGCAGAGTATCCCCTCCCTGTACCTACAAAAGCCTTAAGTCTTATTGAAGTTCAATTCAAAGCCATTAACTTCCACCTCACTGCTCCCATCAGATTCACCTTGTCTCTTCTCTTCTACATACTGCCTTCCTTTAGCAGGTGATCCCCTCAAGTCCCACCTCCTCCAGGAAGCCTTCTCACTGCAGATTCTCCCCTGAATCAACTCATTTATATATTTGGTTGGTCCCACTATACATGATTGCTAAACCTTCCACTCTGATGGCTTAACACTTAATATCATAGAGGAGGTAGCTGGGATTCAAAAAACAAAAAGACAATTTTTAAAAACAATTTTATAAATAGATGCTTATACAAAGAGCAAACACATATATAAAGCACCCAAACTGCCAATAAGGTGGACCCTTCTTTCTGCACTGAGAAGACAGAACAGAAAACAGGTAAAGTGATTCCATCTCATTTTCAACTCTTTCCGCCTATGCACTCAGTTTTTCAAGTAGAGTTTCTATTCCTTTGCTGGTGTTTTTGTTTTTTTCCAATGTGGGAATTAGGCTTTTCAGTCCAGCTTTGACTTTGTTTGCAACTTCTTGGTCAGAACTCTGGAGAAGGCTGAAGAGAGAAAAAAATATTAGCGAAAATTAAATTTTCTAAGAACTCCTAAATCATCTACAATACTACCTGTAACCATGTATAAAAGAATTCATTAACTGTGAGACCAGTCTTGTAATTATATACATATACATATTTTTTCATTCCCCAGAGGAATGATGAGGGCCAGTAGCCCATATTCTAAAACCACAGAAAAATTTTAGACTCTTGTTGGTAGAGTCACTCAAAGACAATTATTTACAGGACCAACTCTCTATGGAATAGAGTTGGTCCTACCTTCACATTATCTTAGGACTTATGGGTGTGAAACCTGCCTCTGTTACTCAATAATTATACAACCAAGAGCATGCTATTTAAATTCTCTCCAAGACTTGGTTTCCTGGTCTACAGGATGAAATTAACAACAACAGAGATCATATTCTAACTCATAGGGTGTTTTTTTTTTTTTGGTAGAGCAAAGGTTTCGCTCCTTAGGCTGGTCTCAAACTCCCAGGCTCAAGCAATTCTCCTGCTGTGGCCTCCCACAGTCCTGGAATTACAGGCATGAGCCACCATGTCTGGCCACAGGGCTGTTTTTTGAGGCTCAAATGATCTTGTATCTAAAGAACAAGAAGCCTTGTGCTGAAACCTTGCCTGAGTACTCTACCACCAAGTGAAGAGGCTATAACAGTAGGCCCATTTCTCTATAAATGGGGACTAGTCATAGGTGCCTGACCACAGAACACCAGGCCTGAACTTGCTGTTCTCCTCTCACTTTATAAAGAGAAGGATAAGTTATGGGTACCAAGCAGTATTCTACTGCCTGTGGGAGACAAGCAATAAGTACAGCTGCTACCTACAGAGTACGCTTTTAATTTGTGACTCATTAGGTGTTTTTAACATACCTTGGCTAAAACACACAGTTATATAATGCATAATAGTTATACAAGTTATCATTTATTGAGTATATGCCACATGTCAAATATAATGTTAAGCATTTTAAATATGTCATCCAATCCAGATTTTCTAACAACTTTAAGGTTGTTATTTATCTTGTTTCACAACCAAACAAGCATTAAAATTAAGGCTTGAAAATGCTGAATACTTTTCCCAAAGCTACACAGTAAGCAGGGCCTGGAATCCAGGCAGTCTGTCTAGAGTCAATGCTCTTAAATGCTAGAAAAATCTGCTTCTCTAAGTTATTTTTCAGCCAGCATACCAGGCTGATTTTCTCTTTTTATTCAAAATGCTTTTACACTTACTGTAAAAATGTTTAGAAAAATAAACAAGCTGGGCTCGGTGGCTCAGCCTGTAATCCTGCGCTTTGGGAGGCTGAGAAGAGTGGATTGCCTGAGCCCGCGGGTTCGAGACCCGCATGGGCAACTTGGTGAGACCTCATCTCCACAATAAATCAAAAAATTAGCTGGGCGTGGTAGCGCGCGCCTATAGTTCCAGCTACTTGGAAGGCTGAGGCGGAAGGATCGCCAGAGCCCAGCAGGTCAAGGCTGTGGTGGCCGAGAGCGGCCACTGCACTCCAGTCTGGGCGACAGGGTGAGACTCCAACTCAAAAAAAACAAAAAAAAACAAAAAAAACTCTCCAAAACCAAAACATGAGTTTTAAGAAAAATATACAGAAGCAGGGAATCTCACCAAACAAGTCAAGCACATTACAATATTCAAAAACCAAACAAAAATGATGATTATATTATTAAGTTATACATAGTGCAGTTTCCATTTGGGACCTCGCATATTTCATGTGCTCCGGTTCCAATTCTAAGTCGTACTCCACAATAAACCTATAGTATCCTTCTTATGTTTGAAATCCACCCAATGGAAGTGCTGATTGATGAGCAACCTTTACAAATAAATTTCATGGCATTGCTAAAACTTCTAGTTGATTGAGTATAATGAAAGAACATGTCAGTAGGTGTTAACACTCCAAATGCTTGGTAAAGAAATTCATAGTAAAAAAAGTTCATGTTTCAGCTAATGAATTCTGACTGCTTAACATCAACTGGAAAATTAACTAATTTTAATGAGAAATGAAAAAAAAATGATCTGTAAACACTCATGTTTGGCGATTCTGATATACCCGAAAAAATGAATGCTTTTGTGATTGTGTGTGCGTGTGTTTGTGAGTGTATGTGTACCAGATCAAAGTATATATTGAAGAAACATTTAACATAACAGTTACAACAATACAGACTAAATTGCATAGCATGCTGCAAGTGACATATTGTGGGAAACTCAAACTAGGGTTGGTTATCTGTTTTCCCAAATCTTGGTAACACAGCAGGGAAAAAAATCAAGTCACTACTTCAAAGCAACACACAGTCTTTTTAAAAATAAATGCTCTTAACAGAAAGGTTTCATGTCAATGACGTGTACATTATAAACTCAACACAACTAAGTCCAGAGAACAATATGCAAGATGGGCCTCATTTTAAGTTAGAAATAAACAATACAGACTTCATACAGCATACAGACTTCAGTAGCAAATGCTTTTCTAATCATTTTTGAATCTTTGGAAACAATTAAAGAAAATTATAAGTAAAATGCCTACAATTTAAAAAACAACATTGTCACGGTTTTCAGAGGGACACAACTAATTCATTTTGAAAAAATATAAGGCACGAGACTTATTTACCGAAAAAACACATATATATACAATAGCATTTTGGTCAAAACCACAAATGTGGTGAAACACACAGTTCAGGATCCTTGACGTCCAAAAGATGAAAACTAAAAAAAAAACCCAAAAAACAATCCTAAGGACTGACTGAAGAGTACATTTGCTCTCTAGTATCTGGCATACTTCTTTACCCATGAGTGACTGAGAGTAATACCAAACTTCTGGGAATAAATTTTTGACTGAAAAATAAATGTGAAAGTCTGTCTTTTGCATAACCAGGCCCTGCATAGAGAAAGGCACATTATACATACCTGGAAAGAATAATGGCCCCTCGATTCACACTAGCCCACGACTTCAGATTCTTCATACCAACATGCTCTACAAGCGTTTTTGCAAAACAACCTGTAGAATACACTGAAACTCAGTGAACATCATATGCCAAGATTTAAACTCCCCACTCCCTTCCTTATTGCCCTTAAACATGCAACTATGTTTTAATAAAAAGCTAATGAAGAGTTGCCACCCAACCTCCTTTAACACTACAAATTCTAGCACAGGTTTATATAATGCATTTTTTAAATAGTCATTTCTTTCAACTCTAATCCAAAACCTAAACTATGTTTAGTAGTAATTACTCAAGAAAAACAATTAATTCTTATAAAATGTTCACTTGGTCATGTTTGCATTTCTTTGTAATAGTTAAAATTTAACTTTGACCTGAAAGCTATTCAGGAAGTAAATGTTTGACAGTAGCACCCTGTGTTTGGCTGAAATCAAGTTTAATCTCATAGAGAAATGCTCATCCAGAAGATGCCATGAACACAACACAGTGTTCATATGCCCAACAGCAGCTGAAGCATGTTCATTCTTCAACAACAATGGTTGAAGAATGACTGCTTTGGTTTATAACTGGCAATTTTTCTCTACAATGCTTAAGTATCCACACAACATAAACATCATTCATCTTCTGTTATGCTAGTACTTCTGATTTCAAAGGTTTTGGTATTATCTTACACTGTGCTACCTAAGTGCAACCAATGCTCAGACAAAGGAGATTCTGATGACTAGGACTTAGTGCAGATGGAGGTAGGGGCAACCTATCTTGAAGGCAAACATCACAGTTAAGTAGCATGTACTATATAATTCACTTAAAGATAAGCTTCAAAAGTCAAGATATCTCTGGCAATTCAGCCTGTCATGGCACTTGCCAGAGGGACAGAGAGTGGCTAGTGAGGTAGACTGTTTTCCAAAGACAACCACAACATCTCCTGTCCTATGTGCTCTTCTGGGATATTACCACGCCCCCATCGAGTGGGAGAATCCACATCTTCTCCTTTTGAGTCTGGTAGGCCCCTGTGATTATCTTGACCAAAAGAATATAGTGAAAGTGGCATTAAATAACTTCTGAGTTCATGAATGTTCCACACATAGTTTGTTCTCTTGGAATGTTCACTTTTTTTTTGAGTTGGAGTTTCACTCTGTTGCCCAGGCTGGAGTGCAGTGGCACGCTCACAGCTACCCCAGCATCGACCTGCTGGGCTCCACAGATTCTTCCACCTCAGCCTTACAAGTAGCTGGAACTATAGGCACCCACTACTACA